GGTGCGACAACCCGAGCACTATCCATCTCACAAAAGGACCATGTCTTCCGATGGCCTCTCCAAGCACATTGAACTCCGCTACTTCTTCGTTCGTGGAGTTGGTCCAGCAAGTCACTTGGTAGATCGTCGTCCGCTCGACCTTTACGAGGCTGTCCCACGTCACCAGCAACTTACTGAACAGGTATATGATAGACGCTCCCGCCCCCCACAGCAACGGGCCTTTAGAATCTTGCTGATTGTCTTAGGAAGTCATCGGGAGAAGAAAAGATAAAGCTTGAAAGACATTTCGATGTGACTCAAAACACAAAGTGGTGCAGATACATATCGGTTGGCGGAGAACCGCAGAAATGGGGCTGCATGTTCAGAAACCCAAAGACGCACCCTTCGCTCTGGCACTTCATGATATTCAGCCGGAGCCTTCATGTCCTCGACGACAGAGTCGTTGGGCCTGATGGCAGTCTGTCACGCCAATGCTCCACCTCGACCTGCTTCTCTGTCAGCAACCTGGTCACAACCGCAAGCAAAGTGTCAATATGGGCCCATGTTTCTGCAGGATATTAAAACCGAAAGAGGATAGTCACTCACTTTACAACACTCTCTGCGAATTCTGCATTGCTGAGCTGCGATGGTGTCCCTTGGGATCGTAGTGCACAATATGTTATGACCACAATAGGCTCAGATGTGCCTATAATGATAGATGGAGAGCACAGTCGGATTTGATAACAATCTGCTCGCTGACTCAAACGGTAATCTGTAAGTTGGATCTCGAGCGCGTTGCTGTCGCCTATGTTGGTGCATATTCATTTGCACGTCATCCTGTCGTCTGTTCGCATCATTTCGTTTGCATGTGTTTTGTGTGCTACGTTGTTTGTATGGTTTGTTGGGTTTGCATGTCTTTGTATGTTCATCTTGTGCTTGTGCAGATGTGCTAGGATTGTGCATGACATCGAGCACATTCCAACGAGCCAAGAATTGTTGGAATCGGAGCACATATGAAGAAGTTACGAAGAAATGTTTGATGGATTTGTTACAACTCGTTGGAAGTCCTTGTCAGCTGCTACACCGAAGTTGGAGAGCCCTATAACGAGGAGGGACCAGCATGTGTGGGGACTTTTGTCCCCACCTTGCAGCTGCAGCATTTGGGGTTTGGAGGCCAACCTGGCACAGTGTGAATTTTGTCTTGCCAGGCTGGCTGAACCTGAGGATGGGGAGTCAAAACTTTGACTCTTGTCATGTTCTTGACCATGGGCCTCCAGGGTCCTTCCCTTTCATCCTTCCCTTCCTACCCCACCTTCCAACTGTGCTTCAATGCCTTTTCTATCATGCCTCTGATCTTGTAAGCTTCAATCATAGTGACTCTGAGGACTGTCAACTTCTCCTAGGGCAGATTACCCCCCAGTGCGCCAAACGCCATAGCTCACTCGTTAAGCTACGGAATCGAGTGATTCAACTTTCAATGGAAAGCTGACGCTGCCAGCTACAACATATCCGATTTTCATATCGTTTCACCGATTGGAGTTTTTGGATATAGCTATTCGAAGGTCGCGAGTTTTCTGGGCGTCATAACGAAGTGCTGCAGAAATTTCCAAGGAGCCATTGAATCATCTGCTTATAGCCTTCTCTAACCAACAAGTGGTATCAGAGCCTATTATCATGCATTTGGGACCTAAAATACGATGGGAGATAAGGAGGACTCTGGTGGAGGTGATACTTCAGTCCAAGGAGGCAGCTCAACCCAAGATTCTGGCATTGCAGGGCAAAGGGTGTTGGTTAGAGAAGGCTATAAGCAGATGATTCAATGGCTCCTTGGAAATTTCTGCAGCACTTCGTTATGACGCCCAGAAAACTTGCGACCTTCGAAAAGCTATATCCAAAACTCCAATCGATGAAACGATATGAAAATCGGATATGTTGTAGCTTGCAGCGTCAGCTTTCCACTGAAAGTTGAATCACTCGATTCCGTAGCTTATCGAGTGAGCTATAGCGTTTGGCGCACTGGGGGGGTAATCTGCCCTAGGAGAAGTTGACAGTCCTCAGAAGTTGAAAAGGCATTGAAGCATAGTTGGAAGGTGGGGTGGGAAGGGAAGGATGAAAGGGAAGGACCCTGGAGGCCCTTGGTCAAGAACATGACAAGAGTCAAAGTCTTGACTCCCCATCCTCAGGTTCAGCCAGCCTGGCAAGACAAAATTCACACTGTGTCAGGTTGGTCTCCAAACCCCAAGTGCTGCAGCTGCAAGGTGGGGACAAAAGTCCCACACATGCTGGTCCCTCCTCGTTTTAGGGCTCTCCAACTTTGGTGTAGCAGCTGCCAAGGACTTCCAATGAGTTGTAACAAATCCATCAAACATTTCTTGGTAACTTCTTCATATGTGCTCCGATTCCAACAATTCTTGGCTCGTTGGAATGCGCTCGATCTGATGTACAATCCAAGCACATCTGCACAAGCACAAGATGAATATGCAAAGACATGCAAACCCAACAAACCACACAAACAACGTAGCACACAAAACGCATGCAACGAAATGATGCGAACAGACGACAGGATGACGTGCAAACGAATATGCACCAACAAAGGGAGCGCGTACAAGCCAGGGTCACTGCTTAAGGAGGTGCTGAAGAACTTCACCATTGAGAAGTTCTCTGGAGATGGCTATGATGATTGGGCATGGAAGATGCAGCTCTACTTTCGACAAATTGTCCTCTTGAAGCTCATGATTGGAACGGAGCCAAGGCCAAAGGAAATGGCAGAGCAAGCGGACTGGGATGAACGTTCATCTGCTGGGTATTATCTACTGTCACAAAGCTTGGAGCTGAACCAGAGGCATCACATCATGCATCTGCTACCGGAAATTGATTGTGGGCCCAAGGCATGGGCAGTGCTCAAGGACCTGCACGCTCCGACATCGGTTGCCGCTTCTCTCATGCTGGATCGGGAGCTGTCCATGCTGCGGTTGAGCGAGAATGAACCTGTGCAGCCCGTACTGGACAAGATGAGGGAACTCTACGCGAAATTGGCGATTGCAGGCATCACGTACCCAGAGCAGACAAAGTGTCTCAAGATGCTCAGCCTGCTGCCGGAGTCTTGGCTGCAATTTATAAGCGGACTCAGCTTGCCACAAAACCAAAGTCAATGGACATTGGAGTGGATTCGCACCAAGATTCTGGAAGAAGATTTTCGTCGCTATACACTGCGCGGAGGTGATGACAGCACCAGCGGCTATGCCATGCAAGGACATGGAGGGATCGAGGGCGTGGCAATCGCGGTCGCTCTTACCACAGCCAAGGTGGTCGCGGGACTTGGAACCAGCGGGGGCGTGGTGGCGCTGGTGCAAGAGGAAGAGGTGGTCACTCCAACAATGACAACAGTGAACCACGCTTGAGGGGAGAGTGCTGGTATTGCAAGGAAGAAGGGCATCCATGGTTTCGCTGCCCTACCAAGCCCGACTGGTGGACCCCTTGGAACCAATCGCAGAAGGGGAATGGAGGAAAGCAACCACATGGAGGTGCCAACATGGTAGCTGATCCTGCTGAAGAAACCTCCAAGGATGACAGAGGAATGGGAAATGAGGAGAGGAATGCTGGACAGTTCTACCATGTGTGTGACAAAGATGACAGTGGCACAGCTGTTGCAAGGGCTGGAGAGGAATTGCACCCGCTTGACATGTGGGTCATGGACTCTGGTGCTGCATGGACAATGACACCACGCAAGGACTTGCTGGATGCTGTGCGAGCGCCTCCAATCTCTGAAGTGCGCTCAGCATCCGGACATGCAGTGAAGGTCGCTGGAGTTGGTCGAGCTGCATTCAGAGCACCTGATGGTGGACTGGTTGTGCTGAAGGACGTGTTACTCGTACCGGGGCTGAAGGCCAATCTGATATCGCTGCGCAAGCTAGGCCAGGCCGGAGTCAGCACCACCACCAATGGATCCAAAACATTCAAGGGGCTGCGAGGAGATCGTGTGTTATGGGATTTACACGAAAGCAGAGATGTCTTCAGATCCATGTGGCAGATCCCTGCACTGATATGGGAATCAACAAAGAAGGAGTTGGGAGAAGTAAAGGCGGGTTCTGGAGTCCAGGGGGAGTGTAATGCAGTTAGTGCTGCAGGAGTGACGGTTTCTGCAAGGTCGGGGGAGACTGATTGGGAAACCGCACACAGGCGTCTAGGGCATGTGGCTATGCCATTGCTGCAGCAACTGCATAAGGAAGAAGCAGTAAAGGGGCTCAAGCTTTCTGGGCAACCAAATGATACCAAGTGCGAGACGTGTCTGCTGAGCAAGTTCACACGGTTCCCCTTTCACGGCGTAGCTGGGAAAAGCAAGGCAGCACTGGAACTGGTGCACATGGACCTGGTAGGACCTTTTCCAGTCCGAGGAAGTAAGGGGAAAGGTACTTCCTGACAATAGTTGATGACTGGAGTCGGCTGATGTGGGCATACCCGTTGAAGCAGAAGGATCATGCTGCCTCAACAATACGAGATGATTGGCTGCCGTTCGTCGAGCGACAATCTGGGCACCCATGCAAGAGCATCAGAACCGACCGAGGTGGAGAGTTTCTAGGAGGAGATCTGACTGCGTGGCTCAAGAAACAAGGCATTGAGCATCAGCTAACGACGTCCTATACCCCTCAGTCAAATGGCGTTGCTGAGAGGGCTAATAGGACCATCCTGGAAACTGCGCGAGCGCTGCTGATCGAATCAGGGCTGGGGAACTCCATGTGGCCTCATGCGGTGAGGCATGCTACAGTGGCAAGGAACCGCGTACTCACAAAGGTGGCTGATGATATGTGGGTGCCGCTGGAGAGGTGGCTTGGAAAGAAGCCTCCAGTGGACATGCTTCGAGTGTTCGGATGCATGGCAGTGGCGCATGTCCCTAAACCGTACAGGACAAAGCTTGGAGCATCTGCACTTTGGTGTGTGCACCTTGGGCTTGCGGCAGAGAGCAAGGGGTGGCTACTCTGGGAGCCCTCAAAGAATGTGCTGTTTGACAGTCGGGATGTCAAATTTGTGGAGAACATCATGTATGGCAAGTGGGAGAAGCAGCCGGAGGCAAGGGTCACCCAGCAGCTGGAAGAGATCACTATGCACTTCGATCTGTCCGAACCTGCGGACAGCGAAGTCACTGCGCCAACGGCAAGCGGTACTGATGAAGGAAGCAATGAGGATATTGCAGCTGATGCTGAAGTCAATGATCCGGAGCAGCAGCAGCAAGAGGCTTCCAAAACACCAAGTCTGCCAAAGCGAAGGAAACAGATTGGTGGGGGGACAAAGGATTGGGTGAAGGTGAAAGAATGGGTAAATCCAACCATCTACCCTGCACGTACCAGAATGGCAACGAGAAAGCTGTTGAGCTCCACAAGTGGAGGAGCCACAACTGAGCAGCAGGAACAGGCTCAAGGCGAAGATGCAGTGCTGTTCTTGGGTGATGACCAAGAGTCAGATGACGAGGAGCCTGCATACTGCTTTTACGCACCAATACAACCTCCGAGCATGGATCATGCGCTAGCCGGGCCTCAACGGGGGAAGTGGCTCGTTTCAAGAGATGCAGAGTACAACAGCCAGATGGAGAATCACACATGGGACCTGGTGTACTTGCCAAATGGGAAGAAGGCAATACAGTGCAAGTGGCTGGCAAAAATCAAGACGGATGAGAAAGGAGAGCCATCAGTTTACAAGAGCAGGCTGGTGGCAAAGGGGTTTCAGCAGAAAGCGAAGGAAGATTACAAAGAAGTGTTTGCCCCAACTGCTAAGTCTCCAACGCTACGTGTGCTGCTGGCGGTAGCTGCTGTGCGCAAATGGAAGGTGAAGCAGATGGACATCGTAACCGCTTTTCTGTATGGCATTGTGGAAGAGGAGGTATACATGGTTCAACCACCTGGCTATGAGGATGGAACCGGTCGTGTCTGCAAACTTAACAAGGCCATCTATGGCTTGAAGCAGGCCCCGAGATGCTGGTACAACAGGCTGGCCAGTGCACTGGAAGGGATTGGATTCCGTGCGAGTGCATGCGACGAGAGCCTATTCCTGATGAGCGAGGGGGAGTCGCTTGTGCTTCTGCTGGTGTACGTGGATGACATCCTGCTCTTCAGCAGCAGTGACAAGGAGATCGATGGGGTGCAGCGGAAGCTCACAGAGCAGTTCAAGTGCAAGTCACTTAGAGAGGCAAGGTACTACCTGGGAATGCATATTGAGCGGGATACTGAACGTGGCTGGCTCAAACTGCATCAGGGACAGTACATCAACACCTTGGCTGAGAAGTACTCTCTGCAGGAAGAACGGGAAGTGGTCACACCTTTGCCTTCCGAGTTCAAACTCATAAAGGCAGCTGAAGGAGAAGGAGTTGAGAGTGAAGACCAGAGGCAATTCCAATCCATGGTCGGGAACCTACTCTACGCTGCTGTGCATACTCGGCCTGACATCAGCTTTGCTGTGGGACAGCTGGCTCGAGTAGTGCAAAATCCAACAGAAGAGCAGTGTGGTGCAGCGAAGAGAGTGGTGCGCTACCTCAAGTCATACCCTACAGTGGGAGTACAGTATTCAGCCTCTGCTCAACTCAGTCAAAAAAGAATTGAAGTCCTCAAAGAGAAGGGGAGCAGCTCGGAGAAGGAAAGGTGTTCCTTTCCTGTTTTGCTGATGCCACGTGGGCTTCTGAGCATGAGGATTCATCATCAGTTGGTGGATACATCTGCATGGTGGGAGGTGGGCCTGTAAGTTGGAGGTCCAAGAAGCAGTCTGAGACGGCACTATCTTCAGTGGAATCTGAGTACATGGCGATGTTTCATGCGGCAAAAGAAATCATCTGGCTAAGGAGGCTCTTGAAGGAGATCGGCCATGAACAGACTTGTGCGACACCTCTGTTCAGTGATAGCAAGGGAGCCATTGCCATGGCACGCAATGCAGTTCTTCATGGGTTGAACAAGCACATGAGGATCATGTGGCATTGGCTGCGGAAGGAGGTGAAGCTTGGGACACTGGATCCGATCTACGTGAAAACTCAGCAACAGCCAGCCGACTTCCTTACCAAGCGGCTAGCTGAAGAGCCACACTGGCGCTGTGCGAGGATGGCGGGAATGTCCTTGAACTAGAGACGGCGAAACAAGCCGACAGTCTGAGGGGAGTGTGTTGGTGCATATTCGTTTGCACGTCATCCTGTCGTCTGTTCGCATCATTTCGTTGCATGTGTTTTGTGTGCTACGTTGTTTGTATGGTTTGTTGGGTTTGCATGTCTTTGCATGTTCATCTTGTGCTTGTGCAGATGTGCTTGGATTGTGCATGACATCGAGCACATTCCAACGAGCCAAGAATTGTTGGAATCGGAGCACATATGAAGAAGTTACGAAGAAATGTTTGATGGATTTGTTACAACTCATTGGAAGTCCTTGTCAGCTGCTACACCAAAGTTGGAGAGCCCTATAACGAGGAGGGACCAGCATGTGTGGGACTTTTGTCCCCACCTTGCAGCTGCAGCATTTGGGGTTTGGAGGCCAACCTGGCACAGTGTGAAATTTGTCTTGCCAGGCTGGCTGAACCTGAGGATGGGGAGTCAAAACTTTGACTCTTGTCATGTTCTTGACCATGGGCCTCCAGGGTCCTTCCCTTTCATCCTTCACTTCCTACCCCACCTTCCAACTATGCTTCAATGCCTTTTCCATCATGTCTCTGAACTTGTAAGCTTCAATCATAGTGACTCTGAGGACTGTCAACTTCTCCTAGGGCAGATTACCCCCCAGTGCGCCAAACGCCATAGCTCACTCGTTTAGCTACGGAATCGAGTGATTCAACTTTCAGTGGAAAGCTGACACTGCCAGCTACAACATATCCGATTTTCAGATCGTTTCACCGATTGGAGTTTTTGATATAGCTATTCGAAGGTCGCGAGTTTTCTGGGCGTCATAACGAAGTGCTGCAGAAATTTCCAAGGAGCCATTGAATCATCTGCTTATAGCCTTCTCTAACCAACATCATAAGCCTCCCACTGGTATGCTGGACCTTTGGGAGCGGGTGCAGGAGAAATGGGAAAAGATCCCGGCGGATGTGTGCACCCACCTGGTGAAAAGCATGCCCAGGAGGGTGAGGGCGGTGTCTAAGGCGAAAGGGCGGTGGATTAGGTACTAGTTTGGGGTTGATGTATCTTGCTGCTTGCGCCTGGCAATAATTGTCCACATGTACCAAGATTGTTATTTTCTAGTATTTGTTGTAAACATAATTATACTTGTGTAATGTAAGGCATGGGTGTGGAGCCTTACCCCAACCTACATACACTAGGCATACCAGAACATTAAGGCTTAATGTCCATGACCCCCTAAAATGGCAAAATTCCTCTAAGTCACAAACATGTGGACAATACTTTCCGTCAGTGTACCATCGCCGTGGGAGATCGTGTCCTACTCAACACCCACAACTACGACATCAGCCATCTCCCATCCAAGCTTTGACCTCGCTTTTGCGGGCAATTCCTCATTGAAGCACATGTCATCCATGTTATGTTTTTGCGTTTGCTTGTCAGCCACTTGGAAGATTCACAATGCCTTCCATGTCCAGCTTTTGAAACCCTACTGGGATCCGAACATTATCTTCACCGTATGCCAACCACCATCGCCGCCGCCGGCCACTCTCATGAACAATGAGCCCAAATACGAGGTCGAGTCGGTGCTTGCACACCGCCGCCATCAGTATGGCGGCCTGGAGCTTCTCATCCATTGGAAGGGTTAAGATCCTTCTGAAGATACCTGGGTCTCTGTATCTGCCATGGGTAATGCTGATGTCCTCTTTGCGACTACGTCTCTACCACCTAGTTTTGAGGGGGGTAAGTGTAAGAGTAAGACCCTATTACACTTCTTTCTCATTTCTACATTTCCTATACTGTATATCATTATCCTTTTTACCACGTCTCATTTGGTGTCCTTTTTTCATCACGCTTCCGCAGCGTCCTCTCGCCCCTCCCGCCACTTACGCACCGACGTGGCGGCCATGTCGTGCTGCCACGGCGGCCTTTATGCGCTGCCGTGGCAGCCCCGACGCGTTGTCATGGCGTCGACACCACGCTGTGGCGGTGTTGTCGTGCTGCCGTGGCAACGTCGACGCACCAGCGCACAGGCGGCAGCAAGGTTGTAGGCACCAGCCATGACATGACACCTGCACGCCAGCCAGTGCGCCAGTCACGGGCACCTTGCTGAAGCACACCCCCCCCCTGCGTCTCCCCTTACTCCAGCCGCAGCTGCTGACTCTATACCCGGTCGTTGCCGGGTTGTGCCACGCCGCCGGATGCCGCGAGCTTCGCACTCGCCGCCGCCGCCACCGCCGCCGCTGCTGTCGTTGTCGAAGAAGCTGCCGCTAACGCCGTTGCTGCCACCCGCCGCCGTTGTCGCCGCTTCCTACGAAGGGTAGAAGCCACCCCTGCTGCAGGACATGGGGGTGCACGGGCTTGGGGGTGTTGCGTGTTGGGTGGGTTTGCGACTACCAAGCCTAGGGGGTGTATCAAATTTTATATTTTATATATATAATTGAGTAGACTTGGTAGGTGTGTTACAATTACTGGATCCTTCTGTAGAGGGTACAATCTCCCTTCTTGTACCCCTCTCTCTTCTAGTTCATCCCTCTTTCCTCTCGCAACTTTTCTCTCTAGCTAAACCTCTCGACATTTCTCATGGCTACATGGCGCCTAAACTCTGTTCAACATAGGGCGGAAGCGCGGGTGGGCAGGGAGGACCTAACCTAGCGCGTAATATCATCTCAGAGTAGAAAAGTTGACTAGAATGTGTGATACAAGGTAGTTTTGTCTAAGGGGTTGCCATCTATATAGGACAGCACATATCTAGCCTATAACAAATACAAAATATATGTTGTCAGAAATAACCCTGACAAATCAGGGTTCGAGCTCTATGCATGCCTCTGGATAGGATTAGAAGTACTCTTTCTTGTAAGGGTACTCGCTTGCTGCCACTTTTTCTGTAAGGGCATATTTTTAAGCTACTTTGTAATGTAAGGGTTCTAAATATTTGTACTTTTTCACATAGGGGTCTAATTCTAGCGAAGCCTTACACTTTACTGTAGTTACACGATCTCGCATGATCAGACAATTGACATGTTGCAGATCTGATGTGACGACATGCCTTGTGCTTCACTCGACAGGGTGCACCATGATTTTTGCTTGTTAGCGCTGAAGTGGAGGGAATAACGCACCTCGGTAATTTTGCAGTTATAATTTCTGTGGTCACGGGTTAGGACTTATTTCTACTTTAGCGCGTTGAGTACCAGGGAACCAAACTTCATGAACTACCAAATTGAACCGAACATGAATTTGCGTTTTGACCCTTGGACCTCACTGTTTCGCGTTTCAGACTCCATTTCGGGTTTGCTGGAACCGAACACTGTCTATTAGGAATACGCCCTTATTCCCTGGACCCTTCTCGGTCACGACCTGAGTTCCCGTTGTGAGTGATTCATGCGGCACTTGTGATTTTGTCAATCTAGTGAGCTGTAGGGTAACTTTAGGGGCAGCACGGAGGCTTGGTTAACAAAATGTGCGATGCGCTGACTACCAAAACGCGAATAGTGTTTCGGCTGCCTAAACAATTCATCGTTGCCCAAACACAATCCTTTTCAGAGTTAGGGCTGATGCCACCCTGAGTGGTCGTGCCCCTCTAGGTTGTTTTTTTCTTTCATTTCTTTAACTAATGTAGTGGCGGATACGACACTACCGACACGAAATAAACATTCAAGGCGGCAGGTTTTATAACAGTGCGCATGACTCTTCGGGTGAGTGGCAGCCATAAAAAAGCGTAAACCATTAGCGGAAGTAACGGACGGCGGGAATCCCTGTCGTGCGTGGGCAGGAGCTAGGTAAAAACTTGTGAGAACAGAAATTCAAGTCGCCGATATTTCATAGGCGCGACATTCCCTCGCCGAAGTGGGTAGGGGGGAAGAGAAGGCGTGACATATCACGTCGGGGGCTTTCTTTTTCTTTCAGGCTACCCTGTTATTTTGAGGTAGTTATTCCCCCAAGTCTGACTGGAACACACTTGGCACTGGGGGGACATAGCCGAATCCTCCGGGTTGCGTTGCGCGGTGTATGGGAGGAGTATCTCTGTTAGTGGGGGACTTAGCCGAATCCTCTGGGTTGCGAGGGGTACTATAGGAGCTCTGTCTCTGCCAGTGGGGGACTTCCATTTTTTGGGGTTGCTCGAGGGCTGTGGGAGGAATGTCTTTGGCAGTGGGGGACTTAGCCGAATTTTTGGTTTGCGAGAAGTATAGGAGGAATGACTCTCAGATTGGGGAGACTTTGCTAAAATTTATAGGTTGCCAAGGGGAGAAATTATTATAGGGGAGGATCGCATCTATGATTGTGTAAGGGTGGATTTACACAAACACTTTTCCGTATCACGGTCCCTACACTCAACCACTCTGAAAAAACAGGGTCCCATATAGATCTAGTTTTTTTTATAAGGGTCAAAAACTAAACCACTTTTTAAAATAAGGGTCCAGCTGTTAGAATACTATAATGAGTAGAAGCAAGAGGCAGCACAAGGAATACGCTGCTCAGGGTGGCACTACTCGTCCCACCTCTGAGTCAGGGGTCCAAAGACCAGTCAGCAAGAATCTTATAAAGAGGAGTATGCAATCAAGGTCCTAGCAAGTGAGAGTCTACAAGAACTAGACCAAGCTGCAAACAATGTCGCTGATGATCTTTAGGTGCAAGCGCCATAGTAAACATATCACCTGTGCTCGCACCGGAGGCCAAGTGTACACCGCTGGCGTGGCGGCGCTGCTGTAGCTCGCGCAGGAGGAAGTACCGCAGCTGGATGTGCTTCGCTCTGCTCTCAAGTCGAGGCTCTTGACAAAGGAGGATCATGGCTCTGTTGTCAATGTACAGAACCAGGGCAGAGCTAGGTCACTCACCTAAGTCGGCGAGCAAGAAGGTCAGCCAGCGGAGCTCCTGTGTCGCCATGGCACCAGCGTTGATCTCAGCCTCATAGCTAGAATGGGCAACAGACAAGGAGCGAGCGGACCTCCACGAGATGGCACCTGAAACAAGGCTACAGAAGCAGCCCTGGGAGGACCTGAGGGTCTCAGCGTTGTCTGCCCAAGAAGCGTCTCTGTGCCCAGTAAGGACCACTGGCCCGCGTCCTCCCAGCACTAGCCCCATGCCCAATGTACTTGCAAGATAACGCAAAACCCTCTTAGCAGCCCACCAGTGCTGTGGTCGGTGTCTGCCTGTGGCCACAAAGCGAGCCAGGATGCTGAGAGGGTATGCGAGATCTGGACGAGTTCAAGTCATCAGGTACATGAGGCAACCCACCAGCTCTGCGTAAGGACCACTGGGCTCTACTGACTCCTTAAGAACTGGAGCTGAGAGCCTGTGGTCTATTGGCAGAGGTGTGGGCTGTGCGGAGGAGAACTGAAGGCGAAACCTCTGAAGGACCTGGCGCACCAAGTGTGATTGTGTGAGAGTGATGGTGCGCGCTGCTCTATCCCTGAAGATCTAGCAGCCAAGGTAGTGGCACAGCTCTCCTAGGTCAGTGAAGGTATGTGTCCTCAGCAGATCAGCCTTCATGGAGGCCAGCGCATCTCTGTCTGCAGTAGCAAAGACCATGTCGTCTACGTAGACAAGGATGTAGAACATAGTCTAGCCAGCACGAACGAAGAGCGAGAGGCCTGCATACGATGGAAAGAACTGCAGGTCAGCTTGCGTAGCACGCAGAGTGTCGTGCCA